TCTCCTGGAAGGAGGAGAAGCAGGTAGCCATCGGGAGTGACGAAATGTCGGTGTACCCGAATGGTCTTCGACTGTGGCCTTATCTTGTCAAGGTCTCGTAAGCCGATCCCCAATTTCCAAGCTCTCGGGCCTGATGTCAGTCTTGTCCTTGGTGGCGCATGAGGCAGGGTACTCCAAAAGGCTAGCCGGTCCGAGCCCTCCGCAGGCTGCAGGTAAGGAGCCACGTCGGCATGTCCTTACTACGGCCTCGGTCTCCGTGGCCAGTGGGAAGGACACTGGGGGTCTTCCTTTAATTTTTCCATGCACGGGGTCAGTGTATTAGCACAGGATGCCCGGGATGGGTGTTTACGTACTGGACCGGGGCTGAGAGCTGTCGGCGTGCCCTTGTGTGATTTGTCGGATCATATTTGCTTGGGGATAATGTCAGCCCGGCTGGGTGACACCACCCCCCCCAAAAAACATGGAGAACAGAGACGCCTCCTTGCTCAGCTCCTGGTGGTATTCTCGGTGGATGAGTTTTTGTTCTATCGCAGTGAGTTCCTCGCTGGTTGTGTGTTGCACCCTCTTTACTCTTCTTCAGGGACCTTCTCCGATGGTGTGGCTCACCCACGGTCTGTGTTCTGCTGTGGCAGGCCGTGAGGTGGGCCAGACAGGGAAGGACTGTGGAGCCAGAGCACCTGGGTTCAGGTGTCAGCCTCTGCCACCAGTTAATCCTAATCTTGAGCGAGGCACAGCATCTCTCTGAGCCTCAGTCTCCTGATCTGTGAAATGGGTGTGTGGGGATAAGCAGTGATGTTCAGAAGCACCTGGCTGAGTCTGACACGGCAGGGGCCGGATGACTGAGACCTTTTCTTGCTTTAGAGTTAAACTCCGGAGGTAGAAAGTGCGTTCTTCAAAATGCCGGTGGCTGCATCTAAACACGTGACTCCAGCTCTCTGGGTGGGGGCTTGGCCGGAATTTGAATTAGGCCTCCCTTCACACCCCTGCTCTTGATTCCAAGCACTGTCACGTGCAAAGGCACACAGCCACCCCCCCAGGCAGCTTCCTCCAGCTGGTCTCGTGCCTCAGCCCTTAAAAGGCACTCTCCTGGTGACCTTGTCTTTGATGATTTTCCATTTTTGAGCGTAACTGTAAAGTGGGAACTGTGACGTTAAAACCCAGAATAACTGGTGTGTGGCCTTGACAAGTTGACTTTTCCCTTCCAGCTGCAAGGAGGTCGGATGGCGAGGATGGGAGTTTCGACCAGGACAACAGGAAGGTAATGCAGGGGGCAATCTGGATCAGAACAGCCTCGGTCGGAAAGACAGCTGGTTTGTGGGGGCTTCTCCAGTTTGAAACTCAGGCTCCTCCTGTTAGGTTCTACTCCTTAAGGGCCCAGCAGGGCCACATGGAGCAGGAACTGAATTTATAAGCTGGTTCCAGCGGCCTCCTTCTTACACTCAGGACTAGCACATCAGCTGCCCAAGGCCTTGCGATGTGCCCGTGCACTTTGGCTGTGGTTCTGTAGCTGAGGCCGTGTCTGAAACGAAAGGGAAGTAAATCACAGTGCGTTCTCGGGGCGTCTGGGACGAGCATTCTGGAACAGGCGCGGCACCCACTTTCTGTAAAGGGCCGGAGAGTAAATATCGTCGGCTTTGGGGGCCATACCGTCTCTGGGGCAGCTACTCCGCTCTGAAAGCAGCCAGAGTCGAGACACAGGGAAAGGGCACAGCTGGGTCCCAACGACACTTTAATTGCAAAAGCAGGCTGTGGGCAGGGTTCGGCCCACAGGTGAGTTTCCTGCCCCGGCTGGAGAGCTAAGCCCCGCTTCACTTGTCTTTAAGGAAGGTGGGTGTGTGTGGAAAGACCCCAAGGCTGGGTCACCTGGCTCTCCCCGTGTGAAGCCATTTGGGGCCCTGACCTCCCTGAGCCTCAGTTTCCTCATCTATAAAATGGGGCAATGCCGTTTCCCCCAATGCTTTACGTGCCTGTAGAGCGTCTCGACAGCTCACACTAAATGGTGAGATTTTTCTTGAAAGCTGGATTTTTCACATATTAAAGTGTCTCGTGGTAGGTTCAGCTTGTAGCTTAGAATTAAGGAACCTGCTGGAAGGTTCTGATGAGATGTTTCCACCCTCGCAGAATGACCTTGAAATTCACGTGACGTTTCTTTCCCTCAGCAGAAGACCAGCTGGCTGATTCTCAAGGGGGATGCAGACACGAGGACTACCTCTCCAGACCTGGACAGCCAGTCCTTATCCCACAGCAGCGGGACGGACAGAGACGCCCTCCAAACTGTGCAAGGCGACAGCTTTTACTCACGTGAGTGGTTCTTTTGAGCGCAGAGCTGTCAGTGTGGCCAGAGGCCTGGCAGCACAGGGGCCCACCACTTGAAGCCAACCCCCCAGGCCTAAGCCTTGCTTGTTACAAAGCAGAAGAGCACACCAGGTAGGAGGGAGGCCCCTGGGGCCGTTGGCTCCTTTCCCTTGGACATACGCTCCTTAGCTAGTGTGCTGTGTGCGGGCCGTGCCAGTGTGTCTCCAGGACACTCCGGAGCTGGCAAGAGGGCACAAACCCAATTCTGGCTCCTGGGTTCTTGGAAAAAGGGCTTCCTGGGCTGCCAGGCTGGCAGGGGAGGGCCCATCTCCCTCCAGAGCAGACGTGAGCATGGTCCAGGCGGGCGAGTCCAGACTCGGAGCCATGACGGCATTGTCCCATCTCCTGTGCTTGTCTTGAGCAAGGGACCCAGAGCTGGGACTGTACCTCCTTGGGGAGTCCGGGAGACAAAGTGACATCTGTCTGACCCTGGGGGTCATGGCGCCTGAATTAGGAGGGACCTTCAGTTGTAGGGCAAAACTCCAGATTAGCTTCTTCGTTCCCAGAGGCTGTAAATCGCAGGAGAAAACAGGGGCAAGCCGCGTTCTGATGGACTCCGCAGGCCCCCGACGCAGTCGCTGGGTCCCAGCGGGCTCATGCTGGTTTTCCCTGGGCAAGCTTGAGGCTGAGCTTGGAAGCAGAGGCCAAGAGGGGGTGGATGAGGGCATGAGGAAGCAGAGGAGAGAGGCTGGCTTTGCTGTGAGACAAACCCAAGTGCAGATCCGGGCTCGCCCCTGACCGGCCGAGTGGGCGGGGGTCCAGTTACACCCGTTGCCGGGCCTCGGTTCACCTGTCTGCCTGGCCAGGTCATGAGAGACCCAGAGGAGGTGACACATGTACACAGCCAGTGCCCTGCCTGGCCCATAGTAGATGCTCAGCCAACACACTGTTATCATCGTCATCACCATCCTCATGACTCTAAACTGTAAACCGTCTCACAGATGGAAGGGGAAAGCGTTCTGTTGTGAGAGGAAAGAGCGAAGAATTGGAAATTGTCATTTGTTAAAGAATAACTCTAAACGAAGAAAGGTATATTGTTTTGTGTATGATCTTTGTAAGCAGGTGTCTGTACCCCACCCCGCGCCCACCTAGGGGCAGCTGTCTAAATGTCGGGATCTCTGTGCTGGCGCACAGGGCTGATGTCACCATGGGAGGCCACACCAAAAAAATCCCCCAGAGGGACTCGTCTAAGATGGTGGCAGACTCCTCCTGGAGCGGATCTGGAAGGGATGTGGCAGGCTGCCCACCCCACCACAGGCAGGGCGAGGGTACAGGGCTGGTCCCGGGGCCGTGGGCAGACTCCTGATGGGGCAGTGGCCGCCGGTCCTCCAGCCCGTCTGCTCCCAGGTGCCCACTGGCCCCCGAAGCACAGGAAGGACTTGCACGTGGACCCTGGCCCCTTGTCTGGACTGTGGGCCTCGCTGCTTTGTGGTCCCATTTTTCTAAGGGCAGTTGTGTTTGGAAGGTGATAAACTCCTGCCGCACAGCTCAATAGCACCCCAGCAGCCCTCCCGTGCCTTGGGGGCAGCAAGGCAGCAGCCCCGAGGCCCAAGAGCTCTCGGGAACAGTACTGGGGGTCTCAGGGTGGTCTTTTCCTGCTTTCAGTCCCTCCCTGCTGGATGGTGGGCGGGCTTTCCTCTGCAAGGCTGCTGCCAGGCCCATCCCCTCCCCCGGACCCTCAGGGGAGGCCAGCGGCTGCCCCAGGGATGCCCGCTTGTGTTTGCGGCCTGCCTGTGGCTCAGGGCTGAGGGAAGATGGGGCACTTGTTGGGGGGAAACCCGGGCAGGAGGCTGGCAGCCCCGTGGGGACCTCACTGTGCCACTGACCCTCCTGAGCATGCTGCCTTCACCTGTGTGCCCCGCCTCCTCATCTGCACATGCCCCAAGGAGGTGCCCTGGGGTCCTCCCAGGTGTGGCACAGGTGAGAGACCCTGCGAGGCCCACAGGCTGTGCCAGCTGTTTTGATCAGCTGACCACACAGCTGCCGGGGCTTGTTTGTCAGCTCCGCCCCTCGCTGTTGCCTTCCCATCACCAGCTGCACCCACAACGCAGAGGGGAATGCGGCCGCCTCGCACCCAGGCCGCAGCTGGCCTGCAGGAATCCAATGCCTGTGCCAGAGTTCATGCTCTAACCTGGGAGATTCCCCCCAGGTGCAAACAACGTGTGTGTGGCCCTCCCTGTTACGGATGCTTGCTTACGATGACCATAATAACGATTCTGTCATGCCTTCGCTTTCTACTGGTGATCTGACATCGATTCCTGTGCTGGGAAACCCACTGTGTCTAACCATTGCCACTGTGCCTTTGTTTCTGTCCTGATGACATTGCCTTGCTTCCTGACATGCATGGAAATAGCAGTGAGGGACCAGGCTGCTGGTGATGCCTAGACCTGGCATGCCTTGCTGTCTGACAGCCTCTTGGACAGTTTGGGGGGGTGGGCAGCACTCATAAACGGAAGGTTCCCACCCTCTTCTTGGGGTTCCTTTGAACCTCACCAAGTGGCCCCCAAGTGTGAGTCCTTTCACACCAGTTCCATTTGCAAACAACCGTTATTGGACGAAGCGTTTGCCCGTAGCAAGGCACGCCCGCCTGCATCCATGGGACGTCCGGCTGTAGCGCGCCCGAGGAAGGTAGGATTGTGACGCTCAACACAGTGGGCGCTCAATAAATGTTTGTTGAATTGAGATGCGTTAAATTCAACGGGTCTTTATTGAGCAACCACTCTGTGCCAGACGCTGTGCGGGGCGCCGAGGGGGAGACCACGAAGACAAGAGCAGCCCCTGCTCCGGAGAAACATGCGGGAGCCGGGAGAGGCAGGGACGCCGATGGGAGCAAGCGCATGTGCGTCCCACCATTGCCGGCGTGGGGTCCTCCAAGAGGTTGCGGGGGTGGGTCACAACCTCATCCCACTCATGACACCATCAGCACATCTCACCTGGGGCTGGATTCATCACTCGGTCACCCATCCGTCCCGCCACCAAACATTTATTGAGCACCTACTATGTGCTGGACACGGTGCAAGGCAGCGGAGAGGCAGTGGTGAATATGGCCCTATCCCCGTTCCCCAGCAGAGAGGTCGACGACCGAGCAGCAGTGGCAAACCAGTGTGACATCCCTCTCCTCTACGGCAGTGGCTCCCAGCCAGCACTGCCAGCCCCTCCAAAGGGGGCCTCATATTGAAATACGTACTGTGTGATGGACTGCTGTTACTCCCCACTATTCTGCACAGAGGGCATTATCTGGACTGTGCATGCAGAAGGTTATATTATCCATGAACCTGATTTCTGCACAGGAAAGGGATGGTGTTGATTTTTTGTCAGGAGAAGAGGGTCTTGAGCCTTATAGGATGAGGCTCCATGCCCCCAGAAGGACACGAGGCGGTGTGGGCCCCCTCCCCTTCCTGGACCCTGAGGCCGGGCCTGCTGCTCCTCTGGGTCCCACCTTTCTCACCCTTCAGGTCCTATCCTCTCTTTTGAGGTGCCCCGCTGGGTGGTCAGAGGTGTGTCAGTGTAAGACAAACCCCCTGGCTGGCTGGAGGCCCCACGAGGGGACAGTGACCCCTAGAAAGGACCGTGCACTTCTGAGGGGAGCAGGCCCTTTCCTGAAATCGCAGCCCGTGGGACGTGGGAGGAGGGAGCTTGGAGATGGGGGTGAGAAGAGCTCGGACTTAGAGACCCAGGCAGCACAGACGGGGGTCCCAGCGCGTCCCCGACCCTGCCTGTGGCTTTGGCATCTTGTGTCACCCTCCACGTGCCCCTCTCTGTGGAGCCCCATGTTGGATGGGACATCCCTGTCTTTGCCCGTCACGCACCCCTGCCCAGAGATTGCCTCCCTGGGTCCCTCCCAGTGCCCCCTGGAGTGAGGGTTCCATTTTCCTTTCCCTGCCGGCAGGAGGCAAGTGGTGTGAGGCTTGGTCAGAAACAGCCTGTCTCCTGTCCCCCGTTATTTATTCCTCTGGAGTTTCAGGCTGAGAAAAAGCCGTTCTCACGTCTCTTAGTGCATAGTTGAACAAAACAGGCGCCCGATGTGCTTTCTGCCAGTCTCATGAGAATATCCGGCAGGGTGGGCAACATGCCTAGTGTGGGTGTTGTGACCTGAGGACCCCAGGGTAGAATCTGCAGACATCACGCTGGAAGAGCATCAGTGCCATTTCCTCATGTCACGACAGATGAGACAAGGCCCAGAGAGAGGGCGTGACCTGCCCAGCCTTCAGCTAACACTTTGTGAGCGCCTTCCCTGTGCCAGCATCTCCCAGGTGCGGGGGGGTAGAGCAGAGCCCAAAACAGACAACATCCCTGCCCCAAGGGGCTGACATTCTAGTGGATGGGAACACACAAAGCAGTTAAAAAGCACGCTGTATTGGTGCCCTGCAGGGAAGGAGGCCAGGAGATGCTGGGGGCGGTCAGGGAAGGAAGACGACGTCTGAGCCAGACTTGAAGGAGAGGCAGTAGGTGGCAATTGCCATCATCCAGATCATGGGAGGGCATCCTGGGGGGCTGTGTCCTGTGGGACATATCCTGGGGAGTGTGTCTTCTAGGAGCGTCCTTGGGGTTGTGCTGGGGAAGGGCGTTCTGAGCAGCACAAACAGCACATACAAAGGTTTGGAGGCAAGAAGCAGGGTGGCCGCTGAGAAGCAGGGAGCCAGCGGGGTGGCGAGAGGGACTGGCCAGTCGCGGGCTGGACTGCGAGGATGCGAGGAGGTGGGGCAGGGAGGGAGAGGCCTGAAGGAGCTGGAGGGCTCAGCTCTGACCACTCTGGCGTCCAGCAGGTGGCTGGGTGCTCGCCTGGTGCAGACACTGCTGGGGAGGGGATGGCCAGTGGGCCTTTCTGCGAGGACTTGGCCTCCAGCTGGAAGGACAGCGTGCCCTCTGCCCCCTGCTCATATCCCGCCCCAGGGAGAGCAGTGGGACCTCCAGATGTCAGGGAGAAGATCCTTGGCCCAGGAGAATCCATTGTTGGCCCCTCACTGGTAGAGACCACCCCCAAGTACAAGAGGGGGGCACCCCTGCGCAGAGCCCACTGCTATTCACTGGGGGTTGGCTGGGGAACTCTACTTTTAGCAAAAATCCCTGTGCCCGTGTGCCTGGCAGCCTTGCCCACAAGCCCAGGCCCTGGACAGGGTGTGGCCTCTGATTTGTGGGGCAGGGGGCACAAGCCACAGGCAGTGCCCACCTCCCTCAGGCGTTCACGATGCAGAGCCGACATCTCAGGTCACATCTCTCAGGGCCTCCTCTGTCCCCCTCCAACTCTGCCTTGGGGTGTCGGGACGCCCCCACCCGGCTGAAGCTCTGCCTCCCCTCCCGCAGCCCCAGCCGGAGCGCTTTACCTGCAGCGCTCTGCGTGCTTCCTCCCCTGCAGGCGGCGAGCTCCTGGGGAGCAGAGCCCAGGAGGACCCCCGTGTGTCCCCTGCGTGCTTGTAGTAGCTACTCACTGCATGCTCGTTGGGGCGGGGGGTGTCCAGGGCTTGTCGGGGCAGAGCCTCCCCTCCTTCGTGGGACCCCTCGTTCCTCCTGGTTGGTGGGGGAGATGAAGCAGGCCGTGGCTAACACAAGGCAGTGACGGTGTGCACGAGATCGCATGAGGGGTTGGCAGAGAGTGCTAGGTCTGGGTCCTGGTCCACCCAGGGTTGAATCCCAGTGTGTCTCACTGTGTGACCTGGGGCAGCAGAGCCAACCTCTGAGTTTGAAATGGTGTCATCTGTAAAAATGGGGATGAGCCAGTCCTCCTGGCAGGAAGTATCTGGGCTTTGGGGCTCACCGTGAGCATCCTGTCATCCTATGGCCTGAGCCCTGGGGGCTGTCCTGGCAGAGCACGGTCAAGTCCACAAGCCTGGGCACCATGAGCCCTCAGCAGCCCTCTCTTGTTCCTTCCGAAGCCTGAAGCTCAGACCGTCCAAGGGGCCTCCTGTTCAAAGTGATTCGAGGCTGATGGGGTCGCAGCCCCCTCCTTCCTCAGATGGGGACACTGAAGCGTCAGAGAGGGGACCCAAACCTGTGCAGGGCCACACACTGCAAAGTTATGCATCATCCAGGCCTCTGTGACCCCAAAACCGTTCATGGTTCTGTTGAAACCTACGAAGATCTGCCCAGGGGACCGGCTTACCGAGGGGCTGTCCACAGAGTGTCCCTAGACGCTGTGGTGATGAGCCACATGTCTCTGGCTGCGTCTGGAACAGTCACCCACCCAGCAGGGCCCTCTCTTGGCGTGTCCAGCAGTTACTCTAACCTCTGATGAGCCAGCCTAGAAGAGGTACGGACCCAAGGAGACCATGCTCAGGGCCAAGAGCAGTCCCAGCATAATGCTGAGTGCACGGTTGCCACAGGTGGGCTTCTAGGAGGAGGTGGCAGCAGAGTCTGATTAGGCTGAGCTTGGACATGGGGACTGGGTGGGTGTCCAGCGCTTAGGGCCCAATGAGACTCAAGGTCGTGTTTATCCAGCTGCCACCCTGATCCAGGTCAAGCGCACTTGCCTTCTTTCTGGGTGCCTTGTCTCTCTCCACTGCACACACAGAGCCGCGCACTCTTAAGGCCATCTGCCGCCGTCTGACAGGCAGGTCCCTAGGAGACCCTCACACCTGCAAACCCCCAGCAGGGCAGGGCTGCCGGAGCAGTTGGGGTGACCGGTTCCCAGAGCCAGAAGTCCTGGGCTGTTATTCCAGCCTCGTGAGTAACCATGGGACCTCCTATGGGTCACTTAGTCTCATTAGGCCTCAGCTTCATCACCTGTAAAATGGGCTCGTGTGTAATGCGTAGGCTCGTGGGGGTCAAGTAAAGTCTCTGGATGTGCGGAGGGACTTTTTACACCAGTAGTTCTCAGCCCTGGCTGCACATGGGATCGCTGGGACCTCCAAAATCTGAGGATGGCTGGTCCCACCCCAAGAGAGACCAATTTTAATGGGTCTAGATAGCAGCCTAGGGGATGAGAGTGGAGACCCCTCTCTCCCTGCTCTGCCCCACTAAGTACTACTGAGAAAACCCACCGACAGTGCAGCAGACGATCACAGAGCTCTGAAGGTGGAGAGAAGGGGGCCGGGCCAGGGACCTCAGGACTGGAGGAGCTCGTGTCTCCCAACTCCCGTGCGGTGGCACGAGGTGACCGGTGGATGTTTGCCTCCCTTGGCCACACCAGCAGGGGTTGAGCAGGAGGCCCTCTGGCACATGGCAGCCTGGAGAGGGGGCCCAGGGACACACTCCCCGTCCACGGCCAGTGTCCCCAGCCCATCTCGGGGCACAGCACAGCCAGGGAAGCACAGTTCACCCCACAGGCAGTACCAGCGACACCAGGTGGACTCAGCAGACCGGAGGAGCACGTCCACAAGCATTCTGAAAACTCAATTGTCATTGGAACCACCGCCCATAATAAGCCAGGCCCTACGTGCTAACCCTAAACAGGGTGGCAGCCTGCTGAGGTGGAAAACTTGGCTAGGCTCCGGAGTCTCCTGGAACAGCATCCACAGTGTCCAGGGGACAAGAGAGTTACTGCTCACACCGAGAGCTGTGAAGATAGCGATATGCATGATAAAAGACAACAGATACCAAGACCACAAAGATTCAGATGTTGGAATTATCTGAGAAGGATTTTTAAGACAGTCCTCACAAAAATGCTTCAACAGACAATTACAAATACTCTCAAAACAACTGAAAAAGAAAATCTCACTGAAGAAATACAAGCTGTAAAAAGGAATCAAATGGAAATGATAGAACTGAAAAGTAAAATAGCCAAAATTTA